TTTTTACTTTTCTCTCTCATTAATTAAACCCACCCAACTACACTTAATATTCCCTAAAAGTTTTACCTAGGAGTCCACCCATTTGTACTTTGTTGCAGATATTCGTGGGCGGAGGGAGTATAATATATGTAGTATGGTATAAAATACAGTCCAATGGAGATTGGACAGATAATAATATACGTAGTAGCGTAGTACAGCATAGTAGTAATAAAATATAAAAGAAAAATAAGTGAAAAACAAAAGTTGCAGAACCCTAGATTTTGCTATAAACGGACAGATAAAGTGTACTTAGGGTTTTTTTTTCTTTTGACTTTGAGTTGAGTTCCAAATTTCAGATCTAGAAGTGAAAAGATTTTTGTTGGGATGGCATTTGCTGTAACAGATGTGTATGAGGAATCTCTCAAAGCTCTGCCTTCTCTCTCTCCTTGTAAATACCCACCAAACACAAACCCCGGCTCACCGACGAAAGCGCCGGCGATGACGGAGTTTCAAGGCCCTCCCATAGACCTCCGCCGGCGATTTTGTTCTCTCTTTCTCTCTCCTTTGACGGTGACCAACCAACAACCATCGCCGGTATGCATGCTGGATGATCGGAGATTCTCTGCATGTTGGATGATCGGAGATTCTCTGCCTTGCCTTGCCTTGCCTTTTGTTCCACCCAACTGGTATCTATGGTCCTGGATGCCTAATCACTGAAAGTTAATTTTACTCTTACAATATATTTGTTCTCTACGTTCTTCTATCTAATGATTCTAAATGAACTTTGATTAATCGTAACTGATCTGTAGAAGAAAATTTTGTAGTTTGTTCTGGAATATATTTTTTTTCTTTGATGATATATTTCTGGAGTTTTTTCTGTAGAAGTGAACTTTAATTTCCTTCTCAACTAGAATTTGGATAAAATTTAGAAAGAATGAGTAGATAAACATTGTTTAATTATGAGTAGTTGTTTTCAATTGTGCTCATTCTTTGCTCTGCTCTTCTGCTCATCTTCTGTCATCCTTGGCTTAACTGAAAATTCTTTTTGGTGGTGCTTAATTCTTACATTATAACATGTAAGCCATTTGTCCCTGTTTTGCTGCATAAATTTCATCATATGATTTTTTGGCATGTTGAGAATGGTGGTAAATCTGTCATGACTCAAGTTTCTGAAATGAGTTCAAGATCTTGTCAATTCACCTGAAAATGGCTTTATCAAGCCACCAGCAAATAGAGTGGTATCAAATTAGGTACAATTATGTCCTTCCTGGTGTATACTTCTCAGTTCTCAATGCTAAAAATTTCATCGTATGGCTTTTGAAAAGCATATGGATCAATCAGAACTTTGTTTTGTTACTGCTTTCTTGACTACAATATACTTTCAACCTTATTAATTTGTTTGAATGAGTAGGGAGATTGAGCAAATACATGTGCAGGAAGAAATCGACCTACTGGTAATCCCCCCCCCCCCCCTTTTTTTTTGTTGGTTTATTATATGCTCGTAATTTTATTCTTCTTCCAGCAATGTTTGTTCCTGTTTTGATCAAGAGCGCTGCTGGAGTGCTGGTTTATTGCTGTGAATAGTGTCGCGATTCATAGATTGTTTTCAGTTCTATCTATGTAATTATAATTTAAATTTTGATGAAAATTGTGTTGGTAAATTGTTTTGCTGTGTTGGTAAATTGTTTATATATTGCTGTGAATAATTGGTTATTTGTTGAAGATAATGTTCACATATTGCCTATGATTCTCGGACTCGGGTACCCATGGCCGACACGGTTACGTGTCCAAGTGTCCGACTCAACCATTTTTGTGAAAATTTTCCAAGATTTCTTGTTTAATTTAAACTAACACATTCGAAAATGATCCTAGGATTAGTTATGACTCATTTGAGGCTCAGTTCTCAGTTTCCATTGGAGCTCATTGATTTAATGGTTTTGAATGGGTATATTTAATGAACATAAACTCTGTTTAAGAGCTTTTCATGAAGTTTGATGAATATATCTATTTTACTTGACTTGAATATTTGGTTTTTGAAATTGGGTCATCTCTCTCTTCTTCCCAAATGGTTTCATATTAAGCTATATGATAATGCACCTGAATTGATAGTTTATGCTTATGAGTTTACAGATGAGTAGATAGCAATTCACATACACTTCTAATACTTCCATGCATTGACTACCATTTTCTTTGAGCCTTACTAAGTTACTACTTTATTTTATCTTCTTTTCTATTTGCAGGCTTACCTCTACATATGTTTAAGCCACCATTCCCAATTTGATTGCGCCGCGTGTCAACCCGATCCCTAAACTATTTTCAACATCATTACATTTGCCAACTTACCCTAAACTATTCTATTTATCTAATATATAAAGTGAAGAGAGATTTTGGGTGATAAATGTCAATTTGCCAGATTACTCCTCCTTACCTTTTTTTTTTTTTTTTTTTTTTTTTTTTTTTTTTTTTTTTTTTTTTTTTTTTTTTAAGAACAACCATCCTAAATTGAAAAAAAAGTACCATCCGAATCTAACTTTTAGGATAAAATACAATTATACAAGTACTTATCAACCGTTTTTTTTTTAATTATTCAATTAAAGAAAAATACTCTATGACTTCATCAGATGTTTTTATTTTTTAAACCAATTTTTATTTTATAATTTTTTTACTTATATTTATTTTTATTATCAACAATTTTAAAATTTGCATCACTAATATTTATTGTATTCTATTAGAATAAAGAAGAGAATGAGCCTAATAAGTTTTCTTAAATTGCGCACACACACGCAATCTTAGCTTATTTCAATTAAATCGGACAAGTCCTTAAACTATTTCTAGAATATATGTAAAATTATATGACAAATAATATTTAAAGGTCCCTAAACCTATTGCCACATCAACAGTTATTGGCTGGAAATTGCTTTCCCTGGTGGTTAATGGACCAATTTGCCTCATTTAAAAGGTGAGAGATTAAATGCAATGGTTTTAAACTTTAGAGATTGTATTTGTACTTAACTCGTACATTTTTTTTTTTTTTAATTTTTCTTATTTTATTTTAGCTTCTTTTCTATTTGCAGGCTTACCTCTACATATGTTAAGCCACCATTCCCTTCAGATTGTGGTGCTTGTCGTGTCAGTGTTATGGTTGGAGTGCAGCATAACAAGTAAGAGGAGAATTGTGTGTAGCTAGCTGATTGTTGCGATTTTGGGTGTTTGAGGGAAGTAGGAGTTTGGGCGGCTGATTGGCTGCTGCGCGGTGGCTCGGTTGGGAGTAGGGGCAGCAAGGGGGAAGCGTGGTAAGTTACCAAATGCGAGCTTGAGGATGAATTTCGAGTTTATGGTGTTCTTTGCAAGTTCAGGTTTTTTTTTCCAATTATGAAGTTATAAAATCAATTTTGGTGGTAGAAATGTTAGTTCCATGGTTCATTGCTAGATTTTGGCAAGAGTAATTTTCTTGTGCATATTTTTCTATGTGATTTTGATATTTTACAAATTTAGATAGTAGATTTTAGATACGAACTACACTTTTATCTTTTTCTATATATTTTACAGTTTTTTTTTTTTTTTTTTTTTTTTTTTGGTATTATGAATCATAATTTTTTTACATCTTTAATTATTTTTCAATACCTTCTAAAATAGAGAACTTAGGTGTATATAAAGAATGTCTCTTCAATATATTTCTTGATTATTTATGTTGGCGGGGGTAATTTTTCTTGTCTACTTTGTTTTTTTTGTGCATATTTTTTTCGATGTGATTTGATATTTCACAAAATTTAGATAGTAGATATTAGATTCGAAGGACTCTGTATCTTTTTTTTTGAGTATTATGAATCATAATTTTATTTTTCTTTTTCATCTCTAATTGCTTTTCAATACCTTCTGAAATAGAGAACTGATGTTTATATAAAGAATGATTCTTCAATATATTTCTTGACTGTTGCAGGTAATTTTTTTTTTATTCTCTTCAGGGATATTCATGAAAGCATATATTTTCTCAACTAGAAGGAACAAGGTTCTCAACTTAGCTTGCTAGCAAAGGATTTTGGGTCATTTGATTATTTTTCAAGCGAGTTCCTGATCGATGGAAGTACACTCAGCCTTGTAGTTTCTGATGAACAGAAAAATGTTCAGGTCTTTGAACATTATGGCTGGAATGGAAATAGAGACAGAAGTGGAACACTGGAAGAATGTAGCAGTGCCAGACTGACTTGATGGGGAATAATAATGAGATGGTAAACCTGTATGGATTACTTATGGTATGAGATGCTTTCTAATTAATTTTCGTTATTTTTGATGACTTTTTATTTAGCCATGAGGATTAAAGTAACTGGCGTTCTGCTTCAGACATTTCTTGACTCAATTTTTCTTTGAAATGGATTCCTTAGTTTGGTTGCTTAAGAGCTGCCTTATGTGTTGAACTCATTCTAACTGTTGATCTTGTATCTTGATCTCATCTCTCTTTGCTGCCTTGACTCTTTTATATTCTGTCTTCCCCTGATGATGCATGTAAAGAGTAGCTTCACATGAAACATTTGCTTCACCATTTGATTTCAGTTATGCCATCTCTCTGAAGTTCTCAACTTTTGCCATCATTTGATTCACATTTGATTGCAGTTATTTATGCTTGTTTGTGACTTCATGTTAAAAGACAGAAATAATGACTTGAGGTCAAGTATTGTGATTATTAATGGAAGATGAAACTCAACAAACTATAGAGGTGCTAGTGGTGGAAGTCAAGGATAAGCTTGCTAGTGTTACGGAGCCAATTGAGGTAGATTTGTGTTAAATATAGCTTATAAGTATCTGCAATATCATTTTTTTAATTTTTTATTTTATATAGCTAAAACTTGAATTTGTTTGGCAACAGGAAAATGGTAATAAAGAAGAAAAAGAAAGCTCTCTGGATGATGGAGAGTTCATTAAGGTCGAGAGAGAACCTGTGGAAATGAGAGATAGGTTTCGAGATGTTGAAGTAAATGTGGAAGAAAGCAAATCATCTGTTAGTGAATCTAGCAGAAAAGTCCTTGAAGCACTGGAGTAGATAAACGAGCTTGAGACTGAATTAGAAAGAGTGGCTGCTGCATTAAACGATTCTGAGTCACAGAATGCAAATTTGAAAAATGAGGCCTTATCGACTGAAGTAAAGCTGCAAGAATGTGGGAAGAAGTATGAAACTCTTGAACCGAATCACAAGAAGTTGCAGGAGGAGATGGTAGAGACTGAAAATAACTTCAATGAAAAGCCGAAGTCTTTGCAAGATACTTTGGAAGATCATGAAACTAATCAAAAGGATTTTTCTGGCGTTAAAGAATCATTTGAAAGTCTTAATCTTGAGTCCAAAATCTCAAAGAAGAAAATAGAGGAGTTGGAGCAAGAATTACCTTCTCGTGCAGCAGAATTAGAAAATGTAGTAAAATCTTCTCACTCCATAATTGAGGTTGCTGAGAAAAACATGGGTGACCTTGAATCGCTGCTGGAAGAAAAGAAGCAGAAAATTGAAGAGCTTGAAGTGAATATAAGCTCACTGGAGTAAAAATGCGGGGATCCTGAAGCTGAATCAAAAAAATATTCAGGCATGGTATCTGAACTCACTGGAAAAATCGAGAAGTTCCGATCTTTAATGTTGAACCTTGAGAGTGCACTTCAAACAGCAAGTGAAAAGGAAGTGGGACTGATGGAATCTTTGAATGTAATGAAAGTAGAGAAACGAAGTTCAGAAGAAGCATTGGAGAATTCCACTAAAAAGCTTCGGGAAGCTGAAAATTTGCTTGAATCATTGTGTGGTGAATTGTCTCTTACACAGGAGAAACTAGAAAGCATTGAAAATGATCTAAAGGGCTCTGGACTAAGGGTGTGTGTAATTATGGAAAAGCTGAAAGCTGCTGAGGATCAATTAGAGGAGCAAGTGAGAGCAATAGAGGAAGCAACTGCGAGTAAAATGCATTTTGAATCTTTACACGAGTCTTCTACTAGGGACTTTGAGGTAAAAATGCAGGAGACAATGGCAAATTTCAGCGAAAAGGAGTCTGAGGCTAACTCATTGTCTGAGAAATTTAAGATTCTTGAAGATAAGGTACAAAGTTATGAAGAACAGGTCGGTGAAGAAGCACTGAAGGCTGCATCTCTAACAGAAGAATTGCATCAGAGTGTTGCTAAGGTAGATTCCTTAGAAAGCTCTAATGAAGAGCTTAAAAAGATGATTGAGGAAGCTGAGGGTGAAGTGGCACAATCTCTTTCAGAGAAGGAACTTTTGGTGGAAAAAAACTCACAGACGAAGAACAAGGTTGATGAGCTTCTGGAATTGCTTAATTCGGCTGATGCAGAAAAAGAAGCCACTTCTCTTCAACTTGCCTCTCACATGAATACCATCACTGAATTAACTGAGCAACACTCGAGATCTTTTGAGCAGCACTCTGCTGCTGAAGCTCGTCATTTGCAGGCTGAAGAACAGTTGAAGGAAACAAGTGGTAGACTAGCTGAGAAAGAGAAGGAAGTCGAGGAGTTGGGTGCACGGTTGAGTGCCCTTGAAAACCAAGTGAAAGCATATGAGGAGGAGGTTCGTGAAGCATCTGTGATAACGGGGTCTAGAGAGGCGGAGATAGAACAGTTAAAGGAGACTGTTGCTAAATTAGCTGATAAAGAGGCTGAAATTCAGTGAAATACTTGTAGCTCTTGAAGGCCAAGTGAAAAAGTATGAAGAGAAGGCTCATGAAGCAGAGGGAATTGCTGAATCAAATGAAGTTGAAATTAGAGAGATGGTTGAAAAATTATCTCAGACAGATTGAAGTTACAGAATTGAAGGAGAAACTTGCTTCCTTGAAGGCCAAGTAAAAGGTTTATACAGAAGAAGCCGGTCAAGTATCTGGGATCGCTGAATCTAGAAATGTTCAAATTGAAGACCTGGTTGGGAAATTAAGTAAAAAGGAGTTTGAAGTATCGGGGCTAATGAACTCATAAATCCTAATGGTATGTCATATCCTCTTTTGGTTGTTTATGCATCATAAAGTTATGAAACTGATTGAGATGTTCTCTGTATTTAAGTATAGGACCATTATACTACAAGTGTGTTTATCATCTGTTCTATCAGTATAATCCTTACTCAGCTATATGGGGGAATATGACTTGGGTTCATTCAATCTCACATGATCTTGTCAACTAGATTCACATTGAACACGCCCTTAACCCAACCGAGCCTTATGAATTGGGTTGCTGCTACTCCAGGTCTGTCACCATGCTCCCTGGAGGAAAACCTGTCATTTTCTATACTGGTGCAGACACTTAGAATTTTCAGTCACAGAATTTGGCATTCCCTAAGGACCCCGCTGATCCCCATCTAACCTAAAAGGTTAAGTCGCCTCATAATCCTGTAATTGCTGAAACAGATGGTGACATTGATTCTAGCAATTTCATAGATCCTACAACTGCTTGGCAAGCTGCTGATGGTGCTTGGCACGTTCTTATAGGCGGAAAGGTAGATGGCTGAGAAATGGCATTTTTGTGCCAGAGTAAAGATTTTGCTAATTGGACTAGAAGTGAAGTCTCTTCACTTATCAGCAAAAACCGGAAAGTGGGAGTGTCCAGATTTCTTTCTTGTGAGCATTGATAATAAAGATGGAGCAGAGAACTATTTTATGAAGGAAAATACCAAATTTGTTCTTAAGGCAAGTTTTCTTGATCGTGGGCTTTTATAAGGCCGTAACAAATGAATTTGAGGTGGACAATACTGACTTCATGGAAGGTATTACTGATTGGAGATATGATTATGGAAGTAAATATTATGCTTCCAAGACATTTTTCGATGGTGAGAAAAAAACGGCAAACGTTGTGGGTGCGGATATTGGAGGCTGATGGTAAAGCAAATGACAAGAAAAAAAGGGTGGTCAGGGCTTCAGGTAATATTCCAATTAAGGTCTTCTTGCTGTGGACTTATTTAATTATTGGTTTGAATATGAGCTTCAGTACTCTGTATTATTAATATCATGACATGCCTACTAGTCTCATTTCGATCTAGCAGTGTCAGCATGTAGACGCAACCTGTCGTAGTGTTGTTGCATCACCACCACAACAACAACAAAAAAAAAAAAAAAAAAAAAAAAAGATGCAACCTGTCTGAAACATTTGAATGCATAACCCTTTGCCTTTACTATCTGGTACCATTTCAATGTTAGTGGACAGGGCTTTGTCTTATTTTATAGGGTTTCAATTAGAGCCCAATAATTTAAGAATTAAAAGAAAAAGCCCAGTAATAATGGTTAAGGTCAGTCCCACTCACCCCTTCTTTGACTTAACCCCAATAATAATTTCCAGAAACCTCTCTCTCTCTCTCCTCCATTGAAGCGCACTCAGAGTTCTCCATTGAAGTCGCTTGTCAGCTTCTCATCTCAGGTATCATCATTTTCTCTCTCTTAATCTGTTCTTCAATTTTGATTCATGTTTGATCTGTTTTCGTTTTGTTAATTTCGCTTGTCAGCCCAGTAATCTGTTTTCGTTTTGTTAATGTTTGATCGTCGGCATTTGCTTTTTTGTTGCTCATTTTTGGCTCAAATTGTGATACTTTTAATAAGATTGATTAAGAGGAATTATTTCTGTATAATTGATTAATGTGACTGTTTTTGAGTCTGTCATCATCTAGGTTTATTATGTATGTCATTTATGTGGAATGTAGATGTTGCAAAGGGTTTAGGTTATATAGGTTGATATAATTATAAATTTTTTAATGGACTCACTAATCTCTGTAAGTACACATTTCAGTCCTTTAAATCATGTTCCTGAGGCAGAGTATTCGATAATTTTGCCATTCGATTAGGTTTGTATTTTGTGTCATTGTGAAGCATGATGTATTGTGATGTGGATTAAGCATGATCATTTTGGTGATTTTGATGTTTAAATTTGTTAATATATCTGATTTTATGTGAACATTGTCAGTGAATTCAGAGCATATGATCAATTTGAAAGAATTTTGTTAACCTATGTAAATTTCTATGATAAGAGCATTCTCACTAGCAACTGGTATGCACAGGAACTGATAGCAGAAAGTAGAAGTTAATGGCCCGTTTCACTTTTACCTCGACCTGACCAGACCCTGACCCACATTGACCCTGACCCGACCCGCCCTGCCAATGACCCGTGCCGACCAGCACTGACCCGCCCAATAACCACCCCTAGTTGAGAGGTATGGGTATGGGAATGGGAAGGCTGTTGAAAATTGAAAGGGAGGAAGAAAGTTATGTTTTAATAAACTTTTAAATTATTGAATTCTGGAAATTTGAGCTGTAATTGTGTTTTTTCCATCCGATGCCTTAATTATTTGGTTGTTTGTAGTTTTTTATATCTTGCAAAGCTTTCACCGGAGGTCACATTAGTGTTGTCGTGGCACGACTTAGGGATCATTCTCATGGTCGAATAACTTGCACTACATTAATAATGTGGTGACACTAAACTTCTTTATTAATTGTGAGTTATAGTTCTTATGATTGCTTGTGTGATATTTCTGCATTGGTGAATTTTACATTGTTTTGGAATGTATTTCAGTTTGTGTTGTGCCTCAAGTTAATGCCAGCACCTTCTGTTATCTTGAGTTCTAGTAATTCACTCCATGAAGCTTTTGAACCTAATTTTGATTTGTTTTATCTACTTAAACTGACTGTTGCTTATTTTGTCGAGTTTTCTCTAGCCTTTAAACTGTGCACGAACTAAACTAAGAAACTGTTGAATAAGAATACACGATTTTAATTCCAATAGTACCATTTATGATGTTAGATTTATATGTAAGAAAATAAATTACTAAAGGAACATGTCTTCGGATTGTATTTTAATTTTGCTTGTCACTGTCACAGCATGGTTTCTTTTTGGCAGGCAGTTGTCTATTTGAGAGTCAAGATACTTGCTAGAACTAATTTTATTTTCTCTTCTATCATTTTTCTCGTTTTGTGTAACAGAGTGAATTTGAACAAATGGGACAGAAAAAAGATAGAGGAGAAACGAGTAAAAGTGTTCGAGAAGTTTTAGAGATAGAGGATTTTCATCCAAATCAAGTTTCCGATAAAGATAAGTTCTTTTTAGATCTTAAGCATTCTAATGCTCCTTGGAAAATGATTGAGATGATTTTGTATTCTAGGTTTTGTATCGGTTATATGGGTCATAAGTGTAATGTGAAGAAAGATATGCCCCAATTGAAATGTGGCGAATCAATTGATTATAAAGAAGGGTGTTTTTTCATAGTGACTCTATGTTCAGAAGAGAACTTTTCAGTTGATATTTTGGTACACAAACCATCAATTAATATGTTGGCTGTAGGGGTTGGGGGAAATTGGTGGAAAGTAAACGATTTTGAGGATTTTGGTTTTCGGTTTACGAGTGCAAAAATGCTTCCTTTTAAAAGTGAATATGACCCACTTCCTGTTGAGTTTAGTGCTAGTTTGATTCATGAATGCATCATTAGAATCTTCAATGGAGCTAAAAATGAGATGGAGGGTACAGAAAAGTATTACAAACTTCTCTGTGTTGTGATTTCGGAGAGTATTAGGTTTAATGCAATTCTGAAAGTAATGCATAAGGTATTACTAAATGTGGAAAAGTCTTATAAACTTAATGACCTTCAGTGTTGGCTCATAAAATATTGGTTAAAAACTGAGTCGCATGTGGATAATGTTTGACCTTGGATATGGATGGAATCCCAAAAAGTTGGTAGCCCCTGATGATGTTTCCGATCCTATTAAGGTTAAGGAACTCCTTGGTATTATCAAATGTCCTCAATCTGCTGTGATTTTGGATGATGTGAGATCTTTGCCAGTGATTTCGGATGATGGCAAAATATTAGTTGGCTTAGAATCCATAGAAATTTTGCTTGAGATTGTGCAAAGAGGGTCACGTGATGCAAGGCTAGAGGGTAAATTGAACCCGTCAGAAAGTGAAAATAATTTTAAGGCAAATAATAAATTTGTCGAAGAGAATAAAAAAAAGATTTTGAAGCTGATGCATGAAACGGAGGCGGAAAGTTAAGTAACATTTCCTTGCAATTGTACATATATCCTATGAAAGGTACGCTCTTTTTTTAATCTGTTAATTTTTTCATTTCTAGGTTGTTTTCAGAATTTATTTTTAATTATGCTAACTTGTGCTGTAGGTCTGCCTCTTTTCAGCATAAATCTAATGCCAAGACTGGGTTGAGGGGCATCCATATGTTCAACCGACCGGTAGTGTGTGATAGATCATCAGTCACAACCACCTCAAGCAAAGCAGTAGCAACATCGAGATAGGCTTAGCAATAAAAGTGAAAGAAGACCAAGCATGAAGGCTGCACTACTTTTTGGAAGGCATCTATAATCAGCAAGGCATGACATCTGAATGTGCCTTTCACCATTTTGGAAACATAACTTTAGACTAATGCTTTCCCAACTTTTGTAGTAACTATTTTTAGATTGTAATATATAATGAAGCTGTTGAGCATGTAAGGGGGTATCGAGAAAATTGTGAGAAACATTTGGAGAGTTGTAACCTCAAGTTACAAAGAGATTCATAGCCTAAAGCTATCCTATCCTTTTGGATTACATTGTAATTGCTACTACTAGTATTACATTGTATTCTTAATATTATAATCCAGCCATCTTCTGCTTGTGCTGCTAACCTTGGTTACTTGTTGATGTGTCATTCCATTTGAACTTGCTGAGTTCGTCCGGCTGAACTGGTTGGCATCCGGCTAGTTCCTGTCATAGTGATATCGGGTCAGAGTATGTGGCCGCTAGAGATCTGGCCTTGTTTGCACTCGACAATACAGAAGCCCTCATGATCGAATGGCTGAAAATACAGTCAGGCATTCCTGATCACGATGCACCTTCCAGTATCAGGGTAAAATCTGTAAGAGGTCAGATATCAACCCAGGATTTACTACTTCGACGGCTCTTCCGATATGGTAATTGATTGTTGGATCTTTCTATTTCAATAGCTGAGTGGTTAAGACTGGATGCTGGAATATCAGGTGGTGAAAATCAGGATGATAAAGAGTACAATGAATGTTCTAAGAGCTTATCATGCCAAATGTAGTTATTATCACAACAAATCGTCTGGAGAAGATAACACAGAATGGATCAAGAAATTGCGGGATTTTTGGAGATAATCTTACAATAGTCATGGTGATGCAGCTCAGAGATCCACTCCGAAACAATGCACCAGTTGGTGGCCCAATGCTCAGTCTAATTCAAGTGAAGAGACTAATCGAACCTGTGACTCGTTAACATTGGAAGATGACAGAGGGAGAAGGCATCGTTTCCAGGTTCAGATTAGACGAAGCTCATATTGCAGGATTGTATATGGTATCTGATAATCTAGTTATATGGTCTTCTAGGAGACTAAACAATTAGGATCTCAGTGGTTGCTTGCTATTGGTTTGATCAAGAACTGTAATTCTCAGTTTTCAAAGTCAAAGGAAATAATGAGAATCTCCTCACAAGTGCTTAGAAAACCATGGACTTGGAACTTTATTTGGAGCCTTTCTCACCCCATTAATGATGTTTAAGCTGACTCTCTGAACCCACTCACTCGCAACCCTGACGTTATATTCCCCCAAGTGACTGTTTGATTCCCATGGTAAGAAAGTACCTAGAACTACTATTCCCTCCTTTTGGTTCTTGAAACACAAGTATATCATGTTATTTTTGCGTTGTTTTGTACACCGTCATTTTGTAACTATGATATGATACTAGAATTATGTTTTGTTTAACTTTTTTTACTGTATATTTGCTTCAAGATGTTGACTTGTTTTTGCTGCAAACTGGGTCATAGTATGTAATTAGTAAAATAGTCAATGAAACTTTAGTGGTACTTATTGTAGTGTCCTTCTGAATTCTTTAAGGCCAATTATATAGCTTATTTGTGATTCTAAATGGAAAGGATTTTATGTATTGTGGATGTAATTGTAACTTATTTACCCTACATGATGTACATCTCTTTTTTTTTCCGTTGATGATGTAACAATGCTGCATATTGTTTTAATGTTAAAGCTTTTGTTTCGGATGAAAACAATAGGACCTTCGACAGACCCTTTTCGAGGGAGAAGACTGATCTCGGTCCAAGTGATGATTGGGCCGAGGAAATCCTGCACAGCAAATACACGTAAACTAGCCTCACGATGGTTGCTGAGGAAAGCCCCTCCGATGCTAAAGTCAGTTTAGTGTGTGGAGAGAATAAGCTATGCCAGATAATTAATTGCTTGAGGCTTAACGTGTATGAATGATAAATGAGGCAATTGAAGGCTTTTATACCTTGCTCAATTGATGAATTGGGCCGCAAGTCAGATGGGCTTGTCATGCCGACTGGGCTTGACTGACTTAGCATGCTTTTGGAGAGTTGAACCTTGCTTTGGGCTTTTGTAATTAAATCATTTGGACCGACCCAATTAGGTTGACTAAATTGGACCCAAACAACTTGCCCCCCAGACCCGATTCGGAAGGATGACGGGTCGGGTTTTGACTTGCAAAATGGAGGGAAACAAATGATTGTAATTTGAATTTGGAATCTGGACAGTTAATGATGTAGCAACTGCCGTTTAAGGAGAATAATTAGGGAAGGTGGAAGGTTTAATGGGTGGTTAACTTGGAAAAGTGTTTAATGGTTGAATTTAAATGGAATTAGTGGGGTTTTTGGAGGTTATGACTCTTGGAATTCTTGATTCTAGCAAGCTATTTAAACCGCCCTCTCCACTCTCTTTAATCACTTCTCGCAAACACTTCTTCCCTGATTTCGCTAACACCCTTGAGAACCCGTTTCTTTTTCTCCCTTATTCTTTGCAATTCCGAGCCTTAGACTGAAATTCGTTGCTCCGAACATATAGATCGTCAAATTCCGAGTCTGATAAAGGTAATTTTCTCCGAAACTTGTTCAAATTTCACTGCTTTTCAAAGCTTTCCCCTTTTTCCCGATTTCTTGATTATTCGCGTAAATATGGCTCAAGACCGAGGAAAAAGACCAGTGGTTGCTGAGGAGGAGGAGGAAGTTCCTCAATTGGGTGCTCGGCGCAGCCAACCACTTGGGCAGATAGCGCCCTTAAGAAACCGAACCTCTCGCCCTAGGAGAGAAGCTAGGGCTTCTTCTGCAGATGCCCCCATTGCCGCGATACCACTGGGTTTGGTGCCTTGCCGAGGTTGGGAAGAGGCAAGTACTTCCAGCAGTGTTTCAGCGCATGGACCTCGACTGCTGCCATCTAGGACCACTGAGTAGTATAACCTGCCCGAGAACTTTGGGCTGACCAACGCTGCTCCGTATGACTGGTAGGTCAACGCAAACGCCCACCATTGATTTGCCGAGCAAATTGAAGTATTTTACGGCATAATGGAGGATGATGGGTATTGGTGCCGAATTCCCACAGCCGAGGATAGGTTCTATAGGCCCCCACCTGGTTACATCGGAGTGTACACCAGACAATTGCAATTTGGGCTTCAATTTCCTTTGCATGCGTTCGTTGTGGAGGTGCTGAATGGGTACAACATCTCGTTGTGCCAATTAACCCCGATCAACATCCGAAGAGTGATGACATTCCTTTGGGTGTGTCTGTTCTACGGATTTGAGTCGAGCATCCACATATTCTAAAAGTTGCATAAATTGATGCCGAACCAGCAATCAGATGAACATCGTGGCCCTGGGTGGTGGAGAATTGAGACCCAAAGGGGGTATTTGACCACCTGGCCGAACGATGCATCTGATAAAGACTGGCGAGGCCTATGGATATGGGTTCGGGCTCCTGTTTAGGAGGATCACCCCGAAATATTTTGGAGGGCCGAGGTATCTGAGTATGCCAGACCCTAAGATGAAAGCCATTGGACCGGATGTGTTCTCAGCCGAAGAAAAGGAGTTGTTGACTCTTTTTGGCAAGAAGAAAAATCCTAGGGGCACTGGTTGAATGACCCATGTGCCGGAGACTTGGCTGCCTTGCTATCACTATATCTTCAAAGAGAAGACGCTTGCTGCTGTCGGTCTCAGCCGAAAGTACCAGGATGGTAAGAAGTTTGGCTGGGGCCGAAGGCCTTTTGTTTTTCTTTTTATTTTTCTTTCTGTTTTTATTGACTATGTTCTTTCATGCAGAATAACCCTTTGTTTTTGGTTTTTCAGCATTGCACGAAAGGAACTGCGGCCTTGACTACAACAAACTCGGCATCAACGTTGCTCGGCGTGTGACGAGGAACGCCCTGACCATAATTGATCCATCAGCTAGGGCCCCTTCACTGCGCCAGTCGACGTTAGAGATAGTCAAGCCTGCCGAATATTCCAGGCAGAAATCCTGGTTCTTGAAAAGGGACCCATTTTACTTGTTGGGCCCTGAAGAACAAGCAGTTGCTGCTGCTAGTGTAAGGGCTGGAATCTTTGCTAGAGTTTTCGAGTAAAGTGCTGAGCCATAAACTTTTGTTGTTGAACCTCACGTGCTCAGTGCCGAGGACGAGCATTTGCTGAAGACTTCGGTGAACCTTAATGCTTTTTCTCTTTTCTTTTTCTCCTTGCCTTGCTCCTTCTTCTTAGTTTTTTAGTTTTTTTTTCTTTTGAATTTTCTTAAAAAAATTTCTAAGTACTAAGCTTCGGCTTGGAGTTTTTTTTTTTTTTTTTTTTTTTTGGACGATACCAATATCGCTCTTTGCCCCCCTGTCTCTTCTGGTGTAGTCTCACGAAGAAGAAGGAGACAAGAGAGAGCCAGATAAGGAATCATCTTCTTCAGACGAATATTCGGCTGAAGAAATTGTCGGACAAAGAAGAAGAAGGGCCGTAGTAAACTCGGGACAATTCCCAATTGTTGAGCCCACTACAAAGAGACCTCGGCTGGATGAGGGCCAGCCGATGTGGCCAAAGAGAAGACTCCAACTCCTCCCAAAAATCGGGATGAGAAGTTCAGCAAATGACTCCTCCCATCACAAGCTTTTCTCCGTCTCCTCGGCACATTGCCGAACCTTTTGCTGATGAGGTTCGGAAAGAGGCTGATGCACTGATTGTGCAGCCTGAGGACGATGATGTTCAAATTCTTGATGGGACGCCTGAAAATTTTAAGGAAGCCAAGGAAAGAGTTAAAGACCCAAAGAGTTTTGTTGTTCCTTCAACTTCTGCTGGGAACTCTTTTCGGACTTTCTAATCTTCGGATATGGGTTTTGAGTTCGCCTAACTATCAACTGTTCCAGAAGCTGTTAGGAACAGCATGCTCTCTCACCGAAACTCAGCTATCGAGTTTTTTGGTGATCTGTCTAGCCTTTCCAAGCTGGAAAAGACGAAGGTTTGGTCCCTTCGAGCCACTGCTGGGGAGTCCGAGCCTTTTGTCAGGGTGCCAGACCCTTTTGCTGAAAATCACAAGCTGCTAATGCAGATAGCTTGCTCTTACTTAAACTTTTCATTTAAGTTTGTTTTACTCAAGTTATTTTACTCAAGTTTTTTGCTTAAGTCTTTAGCCTAGGCTAACTTGTTTTTGAACCTTGTAGGCCGTTCATAACCACGTCATGGCTGCGGGTATGAACGAGGAGCTGAAAAGTAAAGCCGAAGAAGCAGATTGTCAAGCTCGGCTCGCTGAATTGTAGAGAAAGAAAGCAGAGGAAGAATCTGCTGCAAGCCAGTCTCGAATGGATGAAATGGCGGCCAACTTCCGCAACTTCTGCCGAGAACTCGAGCAATCTATTTTTCCTTGGATCGACGAAGGCCAAGCCTTGGTCCAGGAGTACGGAGCTGCTGATATTCCGAGTTTCAAGGCTTGGATTCAGCAAAAAATGAAGCAAGAGGCAGAAGCTCGGCAGAAGATGGCCAATGAGCTCAATGAGAAGGTTGCCTTGGCCGAGAAAGAAGCTAAGTAGAAGCAGGCTGATCTTGAGGCTGAAATTCAGCGACTTAGCGGTTAGTTGAAGGCCAAGGATTCTGATCTTTCTTATGCTAAGACTGAGCTGAAGGGAGTCTAGAGCCAGCTTGAGGTCCAAACTAATGAAGCTGCGAAGGCCAAGGCAGAGCTTGAGGCTGCCGTGAACTTACTGAAAGTCAGAATCTACGCCCAAGATTAATATGATGAGGGTTTTGATAATGGCTTCAAAGTGGCTCGGCACTTGGCCTTTCATGCTGATCCAGGCATCAATTGGGATGTGTCTGAAGAATGGTCAATGGTTCCCAACCATCCGAATTTGCTTACTGCTCACGAAGCCGAGATCACCTTCCTTGCTCGTCTAGCCGAGGCTGAGGCCAAAGAAGAAGAGGAGGCTGAAAGAAAGGAGCAAGATACTGCTCACCCTGTCTCGTCCTCTGCTGGTGCCGAGACTTCGAAGACTCCAAATGCTGATCCGACCAACGCCGAAGCATAGGAACTCGGGCAATTGTCTGCTTATTCTTCATATTTAGCTTCATTGTTTGAAGCTTTGAATGAGAATTTCAGTGCATATTCAAAGGATTTTTCTTTGGGCAAGGTTATGAATACCCCGGCCCCCGAACCATTCACGGTGGAGGATCCATCCGT